GTAGTATACCAAGGTATCCAGTGATGTAATTTTACCCACAAACGGACTTGAAGTTTTTAAGCTAATTTTTTTTAAACCACTTTTGTCCAAAAAAGAATATTTTTGACCCAAAATCAAAAACGCATTCTGGATATTTAAAATAATGACAAGTTTTACAAAGTTTGTATAATAAGCTTTCAGAAAATATATAACATGTTGGATATATAATACCATCTTCATTGTCTAATTACTCAATTAAAAAGCAAGCCAAATAAACTGCATCTCTATCTTAAATGAGTCTGCAGTAATCTCCTTTGTATCAGTTTGTTAGACATCTGGGAAATTGCTTGTGAATGTCTTTCGTTATTTTATGAATTCTAAAACTGGTTCTAGTTCTTTGACCTCTTCATTCAGTAAGAGTATTTTGTTACTCAGCAGTTTATCTGCAGCTGCACTAAGAAAGCAGGTACTTTTCTCTTTGGCATCAGATATGCTGAATGTTGACTGACAAACAACTGGAAAAAACTAACAGAAAAAAACAAACATATTTCATCCATCATAAATTGTAGAATAAATAAACCGTATAACAATGTTTCAACTGTGTACAAAGACGTACTGGTAGCTCATTTCAATAGTAATAAATCTCTCTGATTAAATATTCAAATATAATATAAATAACCTACCTTTATTAATCTTTCTTTTGGTGTTGCTGTTTTGTTTGGGGACTCGATCACCAACTTCACCTATTTTGGCGCGATCGGCAGTACTGTAATCGCCAATCCCTAAGAGAACAAAAATCGGATACAAAATCAAAAAGAGATCAAACAATATAAAAAACACAACCTGAGAATTATTTGTAATTAAAACAGATATGACTGAAATAGCAATTCAATAGTGTATACACACCTAAACATATTTTACAGAACCAGTCACCAGCAGAGATATGCAAACATTTCCATTGTTTCTTAGCCATCACAGTAGCAGTACATATCTGTCTCCAAAAACTCTTCTTCAATGAATAAAGAATCATCCACATCATTGCTTTGTTGAGAAGACTCGTAAATATTTCTACCGTTGTGTGTTGACGTCGACGCCATTTTTAATTACAAAACGTTTGACGGAAATCTCCGAACTTAGCCGATGACGCGCCGAGCAGCGCTAATAAATTATCCATGAACCATAATCCACGTAACCCCCTACTCGAAAACAGGGGTGGAAACCGCTACATAAACTTTCGTTATCGCAAAGTAAATAGCGGTGTCCATCATATCAACAAAGGGGATAGCTTGGTCCAGTCTCCTTCTCATTACAGCTCCCCGATGAGATAAATAAAAAAAAAACTGTCAAAAAGGAAGTTCAATGTTGCAACTGTCGCAATGTTGAAAATCATCATTATTTTTGTGAACTGTAATTAACACATGCAAGCTGATATATAGATAAAAAAATAACTCATCTAAAATGTATTCCAGGTAAATTTTACACAGACAACTAGGTACTAGGTTGGCTTATGTATATAAATGATATACTGCATGAATCAAATGTACTTTACATATATGTGAAGATGAATATGGTGTGGGTAATAATGATCAAAATAAGTTTCGGAAAGGGCCCATTGGCGATGCCCCCCCCCCAATATGTAAATGCTCGCGCTAAGTATACCACAAGTGAGCAAATTGATTTTGATTTGATTGTGCGCATTACAAAGAAAATAATTAGAATTAGTACATGATTTATATAAAACTCTTGACATTCCTGTATTGTGGAGAATACAATAAATTGAAGCTGCAGGGCAACTTTTCTGAAATAATAGAAAATTGAATAAAATTGTAACATACGTTAGTACGTTACTGCGAAGAATCAAAATTGCGAGTTTCTTGGATTGTTATGACAGATGTTAACAATGTATTTAGTTTACTTTACACCCAATCTAGCTGGAAAGGTTTCTCTATGGAGAATTAAAAAGTTTCCATCCTTTCGTAATACATTGTTGGTAATGTATTAACATTTACATATCTTAATATTCATATAAACAGGCTCAGGATCCAGATCTTCGACCACAAGGTTAGTATTCATTATACCGTGTAACCCCAATCTTATCACTCGCAGTAAATCAATGCATAATCCAGTTTTAAAGGCATTGAATGTGTTTAGAATCACATAAAAGTTTAAGGTTTGTGCTCCCTTATCAGTTTCTCTGATTATGCAAACGAAGATGTCCAATCTTGCAGTACAACGACCATTTGCTTACATTTTGAAATGAATTTAGTTGTCATTGAAATTTTAGTTTTGTTTATTTATTGGTAATTTAATACATTACAATTTATAATTTAAGGAAAATTGTTAAGAGAGGTTAATCTGCAGGCAAAGACTTATAGATGCGATTTGTGATTAAATCTGGATTTGGTTTCCATAAAAGCAAATTTGATTCCTACCATTTGTTGTTGCCAAACCACTCATACAGTCGAATATTCATGATTTTGTTAAAAAGGAATGTACCTAATATTTTTTTGTCTGGTTGCCATGAAAACATTCATTTTAGAAATGATTTATCACCGACAATTTAAAACGTTTTAGTCGAATTTACATTACTTTTATTACCAAACGCTTCAGCGTGGTATTAAGA